CCGAAGATAACGAGTGTACGTCAGCGTCACTTGCTTATGCTGAAGCGAGCTGATGGACTGAATGTCAAAGTCTGAGACTAAAAATATCATACACTCTAATAACGTAACAGTTTCATCTACAATAGGATTTCTAATCGGAGGGTTTGCAGAAGGTATAGATGATCTACAATAGATATATAGTGCAACAACTTAATGATGCACCCCTTACGTCAATCACCGCACTGAATACCTCCCAAACAGATGACGACATCTACACAACAACTCACGACTCGTCAGAAAGAACTCAAGGACAAACAACAAACACCAAACGATAGGGAAAAACTCCATCAGATGCTTCACAGGCATCAGCGAGCGAAGTACCCGTTCAAAACGACAGTGTCATCTAGCACTGAGTAAGGGTAGTATTGATCAGTAGACCAGCCTTGATGTGAATTTCAGTCGGACTCACAATCGTACCCTGGATCTTCTTTATGTGGAACATATCCATCAACTTCTGGAGAACATCGTCGTAGTTGGAGAAGATGATATCAGTACCATCTACTTGATAGTCGCATCCGGCAGTCTGGCCGAGAACACTCAGAGTGGCGCGTCCAGATTCAAAGTCAACGCTGAAGTCTTGACCGTACAAGTTACCGCAGTAATTACCATTGAGACCCACCGTCTGAGTAGTTGTGGTTACTTTAATCGTAGTCGTGGCTCCAGTAGTAGTCATCTCAACTGTCGTAGTAGTCACAGGCTCTGTAGTGGTTGAAGCAGTTGTGGTAGTCTCAACAGCGGCGGTAGTGGTCATAGCAGCAGCAGCGGTAGTGGTCGTAGCAGCGGCGGCGGTAGTGGTCGTAGCAGCGGCGGCGGTAGTGGTCGTAGCAGCGGCAGCGGTAGTGGTCGTAGCAGCGGCAGCGGTAGTGGTCGTAGCAGCGGCAGCGGTAGTGGTCGTAGCAGCGGCAGCGGTAGTGGTCGTAGTCGTGCTCCTATGAGCAGTAGTAGTATGCTGAGTTGTAGTAGCAGGCGCGATTGTTGGTTGGATACTGCAGGCCAGGGGCTCCCCAACACAGTTGGAATCAGTGGGCTCGAAACAAATAGAACCGTCACTCTTCTTGATCAAGCCGAAGCAGACGGAAGGAGTTACCCAGGACTTGCAATAAGATCCGTATTTCGAGCCTGCACAGCCACTCACATTGGAGCACATCTGAGAGCACGGGTCCTCAGTGGCCATGACGAGGGAGAGGGCAGCGACGAAGGCCGAGAATGAGACGATGAAGGAACGCATAAGATAACTTTGAAAAGCACTGACAATAGGAATACATTAACAGAACTATTGAACGATCCACACTAACGAGTGGCAATGCTAATGTCACTCTAGCGTTGCGTCGTAAGAGAGACATGAAGGATGCCTAGCACATCACATTGTCTATTGATATGACACTCTGAGGAAAGAAGACGATTGTGACCCGGACACTCTTGGGAGAGGTATTGTGTAGGAAGGATTCGTTCTAGAGCGTATAGTACAAGAGAAGATATATACCGCTAGCGTGAGAACCTCCTCGGTGTTGATGCCAATATCATGCGTGGAGTCGCAACAACTGGCACCAACGTTGCCTCGAGGACCATCATGAGCATGGTATCGACTCCTGAGACTTCACTTGTTCCTCTCGCTGTTGAAAATACAAGGAGAGCGTCAGAGTCTATAGTCGCAAGAAAGACTCCTCGGTATCGCAATTCTCAATGTGACTCGTGCTATTCAGAAGCTACTGGGATCGATCACCAATCGTTGATGTTTAGAAGGAGAGGTATCCAGTGACCGTCTGGCATTCTTCGACGTATTGAATTACTCGAGAGTATCAAGATCAACGAATTCTGGGTCTGCGGAGTTCGTCATTTGAAGCGAACTCTCAACGGTGAGCGATGGCAAGCCTAGCGTAGACAATCCGGCAGAATTCACCTCTCAATAGAGCGCTGAAGATTCATCGACCACTCCATAAGGTTTAGTACGAAGCGCAGACTCTGATCATGTTTTTGATGTATGAATAGTCACACGGCTCGTACTGTTCGCGCCAGTGTATCGTTGCGGCGAGCCAACGCAACAGTAAGTATGAAACTCATGCCACGTCTACACCTTATTCCATTCAGAGTAAGTCTACCGTTGGGGCACTGTTGGACCTCGGGGCATCTCTGCTTGACACATGTGATGTCGTGTTAGCGCAATCCTCTGCTGAATAGTGGCGACTTCGGCTTAGCTTCCTTCGATGCTCGCGAGAATTCGTAGTTGGTGTCCTACTGCGGAACGTCATGGCCTCTCTAACCCGATGGGGGTGTTGCTCACTCGCCAGTTGCACATAGAGTGCTGTTATTGATGCTCGACGAGGCACTTTGCTCAGTCTCACTATCACTAGTATCCGGATTATGACCAACAACTGCAAATCCGCTGATCACACCTGAAGGCATACAGCAGTTACATGTCGCCTATCAGCTGCTACGACTCAGACGAGCCCCATGATGTCGTAGTGAATTATCTTTCCTATTGAATTCCAACATCATACCATCATTTTCTGGCTCATCGCGCTTGCCCCAATGTGAGCAACGTGCTAGTTGGCGTACTGGGGTTATTCCATGCTCTTGCGGATTTCCCAGGCCCGGCATTCTTCGACGACTCATCGCCGTCTGAGCTGCTTGGTGATTCTGAGCTTCTGAGAGTGTAAGCTGCTTACCAACCTCGAGATGAGCTTGAATACTCGTCAATCGCCTCCTCATCCATGGCTGTTGTTCGCAAAGCCTCGACCCTTTCGTTCTTGGTCATTAGACTTTCCCTCAACACACGCGCCTTGTTTCTGACGAGTTTCGTGACTCGAGGATCTTCAGGATCGGAATACGTGCTCAGGAACTGAGAGACCATCATGAGTTTGCCTCCGGTGATGCACCGTGGATGCTCATCAGCAACGTGTAACCGGTTTCTCGTGGGATTATTGATGTCGTAGGGCTTTCACATGCTCAAATATCTCTGTCGAGAGGGTCTCTCACGTTCAAAGTATTATCGGTCGTACCAGGAGCCGCTGACTAGCATCGAAATGTTCCCCACGTGCACACTCTCGCCATAGTTCAATACTGCCATCCTTGAGTAAATGCTCGAGCAGCTCAAGACCCGCTAGCACATAACGCCAGGAAGCGGCTGACGGTGTAACAGCGAAGGCTAGTAACTGCGAGACTTAGGGATTATCCAACCGGGTTCAACTAATAATCAAATGTGATGCTGTTGTAAAAGCCCATGCGGATGCGAATAGAGTAATGGCAGTAGTCTGGACCGTCACTGAGTTAGTCTCAGCTAGGTTGATAATATCAGTTCAACCGTTGATATCAGCGGAAAAGGCCAAGATGAGAGACATGCGTGAACAAGTATCACTTGCATTATCCCTTTACGGGTAGCTTGATCTCTGTAAGTTGCCTGGCATATAGTTTCGATATAATTCGCGTCGTTAGGAGAGCCCCCGCCACTGAAGTAGCCTGCGTGGTTGTCACAGCTCAAAAAACGTTCTGTCACCTGACGATAGCCGCAATCAGTGGGGGACTCTCAAGCCGATTAAGAGTAACGCAGCAAAGAATTTCACTTGTGTGAATTTCATAGCAGTTCGCGAGAAGATGGTAGACGTACTTCAACAGGACTCAGATCTTCGTCCAGAGTGCCTGTGATTGTGCGTTTCATCCATGATGACAGCAGCCTCGATGCTTTTTGGCTGGTGGTGAACGAGTGAACGCTTTGGTTAGCCATTAGGCTAAAGCTTGAGGGCAGAAGTTGTCATTGGAGACAACCCAATTTCATCGGTAATACCACATTTCGTCAAAGAACACGAAATTGGCGGCAGAACTTGACGCCGTGCACCTCTTATATAGTGAGTCGATCAATTCACCAGAACAACTCAGACTAGAAGCTAATATTCCTCAGAAAATACTCTTTTGAGACGGCGGACTGCCATCGTGTTAAGGTGATAGTGATTGAGCTTGTAATACACTGATGACGTCACAAAGCCACTTGATAAAGGGGGCACAGCTCGCTATCTCAAGCCTCTCATCGGGGGAGTGGGCACCCTGAAAACAGCAGGTTATGTTGACATTAAGGTAGCAGGTCCCTACCTTTACAGTAGGGCCGATGCTCACACACTCCTTCACAGACGATAGACGCGACATGAGCGTACCGCACTCCAAGCCAGCATGTATAGTATATATACGAGGGTCAGATGTCACCGGACACATACTAGTGACCACCTGCATTAACAACTCACAGGTCTCTAAAGGGGGGGGGGGGATTTTTTGGGGAGATCAAACGTCTGTCGAGTTTAGACAGCATCAGTCAATAGATCAAACAGTGGAAAGTGATAATACTTGTAACCTAGAATTTCTGCACCACCTACAGCCATAACTACGAATTGATACCACCACCGATGGTTGACTTTATCGATGACAACACTCCAACCTCCCCGGGCACCTTCAATAGCTCTGAGCTCCTATCAGGCTCCCACCCCGGGAACGGACAGATGTTACCCTCATTGAATGCCGCAAATTTGTCCCCAAGCATAGCAAACTCTTCACCTGAAATCACATCACAATCAATCCCTATCTCAACCAAGAACACCAACTTAGCTTACCGAGGCGTTTCATCGATTCCATTGAAGTTGACCTTGGGAAGATATGTACCAAAGCACCGTCCTCGCCGTTCCTCTTCATAGTGCGCACTACGCCAAGATTGCAGCTGGTCCTGACGGAAAGTTCACCTTCCATCAACACTACTAGTTCACTCACTTCAACCCGGCCTCAGGGTCCTCCTCTAGCTCGAGAACACCATGCTGGACTTCCTCGATCAGACTTAACAGTTTTTCAGTCGATTCAGCGGTCAATGGATCCTGCAATGCACTTGAAGATAGCTCTCGTGACTGTGAGCTCTGTTACTTCTGCTACAGCGGCCGATGGACATTCAACCAGCTCAAGTACGGCCGCAGTTTCCGTAGGATAGTCTCTGAGCATTTCCTACAGCACAGAACCAGATAATATTTCCATACCGCACTATCGTCCAAACCTCGAAATGCTCCGTTATCCTCTTCGCCACGCTAGCCCAAGACTCTGGCGTAGTGACGACCTCTGCAGCTGCTTCACGTGGGATCGCATTAGGACCCGTCCCACCGTGGACGTCAGCCACCAGCACAGAGGGTGATACCACTCCACCCAATAAACTGAGGAACGATCAACTTCCTTATACGGCGATTTGTTACCTCTTGAGGACTTTGATGCAGTTGGGGCGGTCCTCAGCGATATCGATGCCCGAGTGGCCCCCGGCAAAGCCCTTCAGGGCCACTCGGTAGCGCCGCATCGACCCTTCAGGGGCTGGGGACCGATCAAGAGGCAGCCAGAATCTGAGATCTTGGCGATTCTTCTATATCGACTCGAATAGATGAGTAGTTGTATATAGACTATAGATCGAGTAGGAAACGGCGTTGCACTATTCTCAATAACTTCATATGCAATCTACTGTACGTCCGTTTTTTCTTATGGGAATGCGTGGAGACTTGATTTCTCTGTGGAGTCGGCGAATGTTCATCAGATTTTCAAACATGCTGAATGTAGACTGAGTATTTGGTTTTACACATTTGCATTAGGAAATGCAATTGCAGTTCATATACTCATTCTAGTTCATCTCTATAGACGGGCTCACTTGTGTTCAAAGCCACCAGCGCTTCCGATGCATATCTCCCCGCTCTCCTCCGAGTCAAGGTTCAGCATGCGACCAGCAGTCACCAACTGAACACTGCAGGTGATAGCAACGAAGGATGCCTCAGCCTCTACCTTCTCCTCAGCCCCTTCAGCCCCTTCAAAATTAGTTTCCTCATTGGCGGTGAGAATAACCTCTATCGGAGGCTCTCGAGGCATAGCAGTGAGAGCCGCCAGCGCCCCAGTAATTCCCACACCATTATCAGCTCCTATAAGGAGCAATCAACTCAAAGGCCCATGCGCCCGCACCTAATGTAGTCTCTTTCACAGCTTTCACCCACAGCCCGTCCGCCGACACCTTCACATTGATCGGATCCTTCTCAAAGTCATGCTGGGCCGAGGCGTTCCTATAAAGGTCACCTCTAAGTTGAGGCTCGAGCACACCCAAGGCCTTCACCACAGAACATTCAATACAGCAACAGGACAGACGACGCCGCACTGTACATACCAGTGTGAGGAATATATGTTCGGTCCCCTCACCTTGATCAGATTCGGGTAAAAGTCATCAGGAACCAATGATAACTTCCTCACAATTTACATATTGTCACCAACACACGTAGTTTAACATATGTATATTTCCCCACAGACAGAACCATCCCTCGGGACAACCATTCGAGCGCCCCATAGCAAAGTCCAATCAGAAGTCTCCCACTCACTGGCTACAAACAATATCCATATGGCCTTGCAACACCACCACTGCTGGTGACTCCGAGCTGCTAGAGCGGAGATATACCTGTACGCGATAGTAATAGTAAACTAATATAGGAATATACGTTTGCTGTCCTCAACTGAGCTCGTAAGTTTATCCACAAACGATTTCGAGTAGGAGTGTACACATACCAACGATAACTTCCCAATGTTTCCTCATGGTTTTCATATTTTTCACTAACACATGTAGTTGACCATATTCATATAT